GTGCTTGAAATCAATGTGTACTCTAGTCAGTACGTAGAATGTACTACATATGTTGGCTAGGTCAAGTTGGTTAATAGTGTTGGTCAAGTTTTCTATATGCCTACTAATTTTCTATCTAGCTATTCTATCAATTACGAAGAGTAGGGTATTAAAATCTCCAACTATAATGGTTGAAATGTCTGTTTCTCCTTCCCACTCTGTCAGTTTTTGCTTTGTATATCCTGGGTCTCTGATATATGTTGGTGTGCCTGATAGTGTCCCACAGGCATCTGAGGCTCTGTTCATTTTCCTTCAATGGATTCTTCCCTCTGCTATTTCGAATCTGCTGTTGAAGGCCTCCAGTGAATTCTCCATTTCCAAAACCGTACTCTCCAATCCCAGAATGTCTGTCTAGCTCAGCTCTTTTATATAATTTTTATGTTCTTTACTGAGAATCTCTATCTGTTGTCTCATTGCTGCCATTCATTATTGTCATACTTTATTTCTTTAAATACAGTTTCCTTTGGTCTTTGAACATATTTAAATTAAATGCTTTGAAGCTTTTCTCTGCTAAATCCACTATCTGGGAACACTCACAGGCAGTTTCTATAGACTTTTGTTTTCCTGAATATGAGTCAGACATCTCTATATTTTGCATGTCTTATAAACTGTTGAAAAGTGAACATTTTAGACAATATATTGTAGCAACTCTGGATTCTGATATTTTCCCCCTTAAAGTTGGTGGTGCTGCCTTGTCTGCTTGTTCACTTTTGTTTAGTGACAGGCTGGGTTAAACACATGAAATCTATTTTCACTGCGATGTGCAACCACGACGTGTCCACTCAGTTTCTTCTTGTTCTATGTTCTTTTTCCTCCTCCTTTTTAATAAGACTGGTTTCCTAGGAACTGCCCCGTCACTGGCTCTCCTGTGGTAGCCTGCCTCTGTGAAGTCACTTCCACAGACAGTGACACTGGACACTGGTGTCACCCACCACTGCAGACAGAAACTGCCAGTCCTTGCAGCCTGCTCCACACTGGCAGAAACTCCATACAGCACAGCTTGGGGCGTTTGGGAAGCAGCACCCTGCTAAACCACAAATTTCCATTGCTCTTACCTGAGGTCTAGAAGTTTTCCAAAGCATAAATGTGTCTCAGATTATTGTCCCTTCATTGACATCCAAAACACTGAAATGGCTGTTTTGTCAATTCTGTCCAGTTTTTTAGGTGCTTTTTTGGAAGAGGATTTGCTGGTCTCTTCACTTGGTCTTTACGGGCGTGCTACCCCTACTTCTCTATTATTTTTAATGCTACCTTATAAATATTTTACAAAGTTTTTCTCTAATGATTATTTTGAAATATTTCAAATAAGCAAAAATTACAAAGAATATAATAAACATCTGTCTACCCACACACTCAGCTTAATAAATAAAACATTATAGATACATTTACTTCTCTCTGATCCTATTTCCTTTCTTCCCTCTCCAGAGACAACCATTATCCTAAATTTTGTATTTATTAATCTTATGTATGTTTTTCTTAGTTTATACCTATATACATGCTCTTAAATTAATTACTTAATTAAAATGTTTTGCATTTTAATTTTATTCAAATGATATCTCACTCTAAATATTCTTCTATAACTTACTGTGTTTGGGAGACTTACGTAATACATGTAGCTTTAATTCATTGACAGTTAACTGCTGTCAATAAACATGCCACAATTAACCCAGGCTTCTATGACAGACACAGGTGTTTTCAATAACCTGCTGTTACAATGCTGTAATACTCTCACACACGTTGTCCGTGCACAAGTGTAAGAGTAACAGGGTGTAAAGAAGGATAGAGAGGCTATCGGTGCTTGTGTAAATATATGACATCTACCCATTGGCTCCCACGTGGTTGGAGGTGAAATGTGAGAGACGGGGAAATGGCGGTTGTGTCCACCACAGGGATCCATGGCCTTCCACAGAGTCTAGATTGACAGTCACAAGGGGCCTTATAGAAGGCCTCTATACTCCAACCCCCACCCAGGAGGTAACATGGCCTGTGTCACAGAGCATTTCAGTGGAAAATTTGGGACTAAAACCTAGGTTTCCTTTCTTTACCGCCTTCTTTCTCAAAGCAAGATCTGTAGACCAGCAACATTAGTGTCACCTAGAAACTTGTTAATAATACAGGCTGTTGGGCCATATTCCAGACTTACTGAATCAGAATTTGCATTTTAACAAGATTCCGAGATGCACATTAAAGTTTTAAAGCTTGAAAAGTAGAGTGTGTCTCTAGGGGTAGAATTACCGATCACAGTGTGCAGATTCTTTTAACTACACCGGACAATGCCAAATTTCTCTCCAAAGTGTCGTACCAATTTATCCAGTTTAGTTTCCCACATTACTTTTTCTAACTGTCTATGAACCTAATCACAACCTAAGGCCATTTCCTATTGCTCTTATGTACACCTCCACTGTTTGCCTTACAAAGCTTCCATTTCCTAAGAATATATCCTCAAACTATACCCCTGCATTTCTTTAATTGGTGCTCTTAAACACTTGTCTGTGATAAAAAGAGTTACATGGTCAAATAGGTTTGGGAAACACTAGATTAATCAAAATAAAACAGGTTTTTTGTTTAGTTTTGTGTTTGTTTTTGAGACAGGTTCTAACTCTGTCGCCAGGATGCAGTGCAGTGGTGTGATCACGGCTCACTGCAGTCTCAACTACCCCAGGTTCAGGAAATCCTCTCACCTAAGCCTCCCAAGTAGCTGGGACTACAGGCATGCACCATTACACCCGACTAATTTTTGTATTTTTTGTAGAGATGGGGTCTCCCTATGTTGCCCAGGCTGGTCTTGAACTCCTGGGCTCAAGCAACCCTCCTACCTTGTCTTCCCCAGGCTCAGGGAGCAGTGATCGTACCACTGAACTGCATCCTGGGCAACAGAGTTAGACCTTTCTCAAAAAAAAAAAAAAAAGCCTGTTTTATGTTTTACTTTGATTAACCAAAGTATTTCCCAAAGTTCTTGGATTACAGGTGTGAGCCACCACCGACCAGCCAAAACAGGTTCTTTAAGACTTCTCAGAGACCCAGAAATGTTAATAAGCACTAGGAGCCCTAGATGTGGACTACGTTTCAAGGATTTTCTGAAACTTTGTGTCCCCAGGAGTCCTCTAGGAACATATCTAAACAAACTAACATTTCAAGGAACACGGTTGGGAAATGCTGCATTGATACAGGCTTCCCGTCCTTTTTAAATACAAGTAATTTAAATTTTTTTTAAGATTTCAATTCCCTCTTATAATTCCCAGATCTTCTCATACTTTTATTAAAAGACTCTCATTTTAGCTACTTCTCTGTGGTTCTGTGTAAGTAAAACAACATTAATAAGAAAGAAAAAATTCATTTTGCTCAGCTGAATTTCTCCCTATTCATTTTCTTCGTGTTTTAAGTAAAAGAAAATCAGCATGGAATGAAGATAAGTTACATTAGGCCCAAATTTTTAAACAGTTTTTCTTCCTCTGAGACAAACCGAGGGAAACCAAACGCACCTGCTCTGAAACCCGGCAGAAAACTACCCTCCTGAGCCCGGTTTCCACACAGATGCCAGCTAAAAACTGCTCCTTAATTTTCTTTTGGTTTCCCTGAATAAATTAAAGTTACACGACCCCAGTGATCTCTCGATAGTGAAAAATCAACACATTTTATTTCACTCTTTGGTGTTTTCTTTAGTTCAGTTTTTTGTACAATAAGCATGTGTTACTTCTGCGATTGGAAAAAATACACCTTACTTATCTTCTTTTCTTCCTTTTTTTTTTTTTTTTGAGATGGAGTCTTGCTCTGTCACCCCAGGCGCTGGAGTTACGCGGCGTGATCCTCGGCTCACTGCAACCTCACCCTCCCAGGTCAATAGCAATTCTCGCTGTCCTCAGCCTCAGCAGCTGGGATTCACAGGTGCCCTCCACATTGCCCAGCTATTTTTTTTAAATTTTTAGTAAAGACAGGGGTTTCAGCACGTTGACCAGGGTGGTCTCAAACTCCTGACCTCAAGTGATCCGCCCACCTTAGCCTCCCAAAGTAATCTTACTTCTAAAAGGCTTAGTTTGAAAGGAAGACAACAAGTCAGAGGGCACTAAAGTTTAAATCCACCTGCACCATTCTATCAAGATGTGCAGGGAAGTACCAATGACTCTCAGTTAAGGTGGGCAAGTCTTTGCGAGAAACTTGCTAAAAGTCATTATGTAAAAACTACACGATGAAAAGTTAGTTCTTTAAATAAGTCAAACTCTAAAATTCTCATGAATGCAAAACTAAATTTTATCTAGATTTCAAGGTAAGGAGACAGAGTGGTGAAACTAACGGAACATCAACAAAACTGGGGTGTGAGCCCTCATCTGTTGGCCCTTACCTCTTTCAGTCCCCTTCCTAGTCTGTAAGATGAGAGAGAACCTACATCACGCATGGTTATTGTAAGAACTGTCTAAAAAACATATTTAAAAAACTCATCACACAGCGCCTGGCATTTATATAGTAAGTGCTCAATAAACTGCAACTATTGTTATGAAACAATTAGAAATACCCTGACTGCTTCCAGAAGAAATAAAGAAGCATTGTTACTACTGAAATTACATGAATTACTAAGTCAGTTTCAACATTCATCCTGATGAAAACAGAATCCTTCCCAGACAGGTAATCCTTGAGAATCCATGACATAACCTGGGTGAATGATTCCAAATCAAATACATTATTTGTCGAAGTTAGTAAGCAAAATGTAGAAACGCAAAACAACTAAGGATTTAATCACAGCCAGTGATTTACTAAGTCCAAGTTGTACAGACTGTTGTCATCATTACTTATGAAGAAGAAGAAATTCAACTATGGGGGAAAAACATGTATCCCAACGAACAAATGGCAATACTAATAGGATGATGTGGGAAATTACACGGCTTCAGCAGAGGCAGAACGCTTACCTATAAAGCAATGATTTCTAAGAAGAAAAACAAAACCAACAGCCCCCATGCTTTGCTTACCTGGGTGAGTCATGGTCACCGGCTCCTCTTTGGATTTATTATTGTAGATGACTACAGCAACTGCATTGTGGAAAGCAGCCCGTGATATTTTCTCTTTAAATGTGCAGTTTCCCCTCTGCAGCAAGGCAATCCACTGTTTGGTATTAGGAGGGACAAAGAACCGGGTTTGTGGATCACAGCCCAGATGATCAGCAACTGAAAAGAAAAAGAAATATACACATGAAAGATAAATAAAACTGACCAAGTCTTTATCGAAGCGTCAGCTGCTTTCTGAATACCACACAGAGCTAAAGCACGTCAAGCAGCTTGTAGCCAGTGGAGCTATGAACACATCCACAAACAATGCAATGAATCAGTATCTACAGGGAGAGATGCTCCAATGAACTGCAATATAATGCACATTAAAACAATGAAAATTTCTTAACTTTACAGACTGTTAAAAAATAAAAAGACTGATAATATCCAGTACAGGGTGGTAAAGGGAGGAGGAAGAAAAGGCCAACACAGATGAGAAACCCAGGTGACTGATGTAACCCCGACTTTTACTCACTCGTGTTCAGGTGCTAGCCCTCTCCACACACACCCCACCACGCCACACACACCCCACCACCACTACCCCCACTGTGAGAAAGCAGGAGACTGGACTGGGGGCTGATGAGGAAGCCAACGTAATCCTTGGTTCAGTTACTAAGCGATCCTGTTGAAATTCAACCATGTTTGAACAAAGTTCTTCATCAATGTCTAAGGAAAATTTACAAGTTTGGTTTTGGCTTACATTTGAAAGGTGAAGTAGTTAAAATAACATCTAAGTAGAATAAATGTATTATTCCTCTAATTTATATTAGCAAAAGTCACCCCACAACTCCCTATCAAGATACACTTACTGTATCCATCTGTTTAACAGGTTACAAGAAGACACTAAGAATGCTGGTTCTACAAATCACATGGCCACTGTTCTGGATTTTTTGGGATAGTTTATTTAAAATACTCATAAGTACATTTAAATCTGTCAGAGTAAGCTCCTCAATTTTTTACTCAGCACATATGGCCATCATGGTTCTGACATCCTCTGCAAATCTTAAGAAGCCCCCGGCTGCTCTTCCCACTCCCACTTTCCCATTTATAACAGGTTCAAACGAGACAGAAGGGTAGTCCAGGAGGGAAGAGAAGTCACCAAAGGTAGTGTCTGAAGACTGCTGGCACACAGTGGCGGAGGGTGCCAGCCCTGTGCCCTGAGTCAGCCCTGTCGGTCCTCTGTGTGCCAGGAAGGAAGCGAGGAAAGTGAACACAGCACATAGATCTAAAAGGGTGATATCAGAAGTAAATAAATCATAAAAACATGGCAAGATGTGGTGGCTCAGGCGTGTTAATCCCAGCACTTTGGGAGTCTGAGGCAGGTAGACTGCTTGAGCCCAGGAGTTTGAGACCAGCCTGGGCAACAAAGTGAAACAAAAAATACAAAAAATTAGCTAGGTGTGGTGGGACACATCTGAATTCGCAGCTACTGGGGAAGCTGAGTGGGAAAGATTGCTTGAGCCATGATCGCACCACTGAACTCCAGCCTGGGTGACAGAATAAGACCCTGTCTCAAAAAAAATCATAGAAACATTAAGTATTAATTGTAGTAGATAAAGAGATGACACCAGAGGGAAAATGTTGGCTTTCCACACACCTGGAAGCACAAGCTTAGCAAAAGAAACTAAACGCTTACACTACTTAAATTGTAAAATGTAAAGATGTCACTAACTGCAGAGAACTATTACATCTATCATTCCCACTTAAATATCTTTCTCCAGATTTTCTTATAATTAATTGTGGTGAGAGACTGCAACAAGAGCATATTTGCTACCAGAGGTCTCGCATTACATGAAATGGAAGATGAATGTTTTCACAATTTTTCATGATTGATATTGTATACAACCATTACCTACCCTGTTCCTTAAAAGGTTTCTGCACTCTGAAACTTTAACCCTTCCTCAACCAAATTAAATAGGGGGATAGAAGCCTATGTCACAATTTTAGGAGCAATTGAAAGACACAGTCGATGTACTGTAAAACTTTAAAATCCTGAAACAGATTGTTTACTTTCAGCACTATCTGTTTCATCGATAATTATGCTGTTTAAAATAAAAGCAGCTCGGCAACCTGTTATGATAATCTCCTGTCTTAGAAAAATGTCTAATACTGTATCCAAACAGGGAATAACCAAAGAACTGGTTTTAGGTGTTTTGTTTGTTATTTTTCAAAACACACTGCTGCACAAACCCTGGAAGAAAACGCAAAATCGAGAATATCTAAAGTGATGTGTTCCCTTGCCTTCTGTGTAACAATCATTTGTCTGTGACTAATCTCTTCTTCCCTGTGGTCTCGCATACATGTACAAGAGGAAACAACATAGTTACGGAATCAGCAAGACCTGTGCTCCAGGTTCTAGATCAACTGCTTACTAGCTGTGTAACCATCACAGGTTACTGAAATTGTCCCATCTTTAATTTTTACTTACTTATAAAGATTGAGATATTATCTCAGAGTTTTACATGTGAAAAAGCCAACAGTAATTCTTTCTGGCTAGGCATGGTGGCTCACGCCTGTCAATCCCAACACTTTGGGAGGCCAAGGTGGGAAGACCACTCGAGGCCAGGAGTTCAAAACTAGCCTGGGCACATAGTAAGACCTTCATCTCTATACAAAATAAAAAATAAAAAAAATTAGCCAGGCATGGTAGTTCCAGCTACTCAGGAGGCTGAGATGGGAGGATCGCTTGAGCCCAGGAGTTCAAGATTACAGTGAACTATGATCATGCCGCTGCACTCCAGCCTGGGTGACAGAATAAGACTCTATCTCTAAAAACAGTAATAATTCCTTCATTCTTAGTGCTTTAAAAAAACCTCTTTCCTTTTGTTTGTTTCACTGACATTCATCCTATGTTGTCTTGGTGATCCAGTTTGGTGCCCTTGGGAGTTTCTGTGCCGACATATGTGGGCTTCCCCAAGCTCAGCAGCACCCCACACTCCTCCGCTCTTAGTAACCACCACTCACAGATCCCAAGGCTCATCTTCTTTACCTCTTTCCTTTTGACAGTGTCGCAGTCCACTCAGATGACAGCAGTCCAGTAATATTCATAATGTTCTAAGCATGAAAAGACACAGCAAGGGGTGCAACCACAGAGCAAAAGTTATCAAACATACTGCAGGGGGCTTTAAAACTCTCCTGAAGGAATCCTGCCCACTGAGACCACATTCTATGAACAACTGCATGATCAAAAAATCCAACAATGGCCTGTATAAGCAAAATAAACTTCCTGTTTCCCAAAATTCATCTAATCATCATCCATAAAAGGTCTCTGAAAACATTTATATTGGTAGTACAATACAAAATAAGCAAGAATAAGATAGGAGGTTTCTGTTCAAAAAAGTGGTATTTATTATTCAGAAGAAAGTAAGAGGTTTTCATAAACAGGAACTTAATACTTTAGTATACTCATTCTACCCAGTTATTCCCTCCTGTAATTAAGAAACTATAAATAATGAAAACAACAGCTCTATAACAACTTTCCAAGAAGACTGATGACTACGATTAAGTAGTATTATTCCAAAATTTAATACCAGTTGTTTACACTTGAGAAATTTATTAAGTGAAGACATATTATGGTATAAAGTATCTATATAACTATGAGCCTTTAAAATTTGTCAATAGCAATTCTGTTCCAATTCAGAATTACTGTACTTCCATTTTTCTCACCTGCCAAATTTTATAAGAGGATACTATCTCTGAATTATTTGCATTTATTAATTATATAGCCAGAAAAAACTTATTAGAGGTTTTGATAAAAATTTCAAGATAGGTAATACAAAATATTTTACTATAGAACTTAAATTTTTTTTTCCTCTAGGGCTTTTCCTGCTGAGTCCAAAAATATTAAAAGTAATGAGACTTATTTACCTTTTGACAGGAACCAAACAATTACGGGCTCCTCACCTAAATGAATAGTAATTTATGTGCTAAGCAACATGCTAAGTACCAAAGAGAGAGAAAATGGGGCAAATGCCTTGCTCTTGACTCTTAAAGCACCTCCACATGGCCAGGCACAGTGGCTCACGCCTGTAATCCCAGTACTTTGGGAGGCCAAGGTGGGCGGATCATGGGGTCAGAAGTTCAAGACCAGCCTGGCCAACACAGTGAAACCCCATCTCTGTAATCCCAGCTACTTGGGATGTTGAGGCAGGAGAATCGCTTGAACCTGGGAGGCAGAGGTTGCAATGAGCCAAGATTGTGCCACTGCACTCCAGCCTGGGTGATAGCGCTAGACTCTGTTTCAAAAAAAAAAAAAGAAAAAAAAGAGCGTCCACATTTACTGAGGCATCATAATTGGCACCGGCACAGAAGCTGACATTAGAGGGTGCCAACACGGAGCGCGTTTAGAGACTGAAGGAGGGAGGAGGGCAGGACGATGGTCAAGATTCAGTGTGAGCTGGAGCCCACATGGAACCCCTGAAACTTGCCCAGGCAGGAAGGAGGCAGGTACAGAAGCTGCCAGCATAAAAACACAGAACAAAGACTAAACTCTTCTCTTGAACTCTTGTAAAACTAAGTAAGATGATATGTAACAGAACCTAGAACACTATACAAATTCAAGAAGATGAAGTTCGGAAAATATCTCATTTGTAATGAGAGAAGGGGAAGAATATTCAGGTAGGAATAATATGTAAATATTTAAAGGGCTGTAGGAACAAAACATCTCTTCCACACCCCACCAGTCTGAAACTCTCCTCCACTTTGATTCATTTGATTTAGTAAAATCTCATTTCTTAGAAATGTAAACATGCCACGTAAGAAGCACTCACCATGCTACGGTGTAGGCTAATGGTTTCCTTCCTACCCCTGAGAACTGTCAGTCTGCTGCAGGGGCAGAAGTGAGAGCCTAGGACAGTATTTTTCTGCAGTGATGGTCAAAACAGGTGGCCGCACAGCACAGTGGCAAAGATGTGCCTCTCCCTCTCAGAGCCTGTGTGTGTCACTTCATCCCCCTGAAACGCCAGTCCCAACTCTCTTGCTCGCCACCTTCCGAGCCTCAGGATTCTGTCAAAATATCTTCTCCAGAATGCCTTCCCAGCCTCCTAAGACGGAGTTGGGTGCTTTTTTCAAGTTGCCATGGCACCCTCAGGTTACATCCATCTTGGCATTTATCAACTGTA